CGGCCAAAGAGCCCAAAAAACCCACAACAACCATCAGATCCCGGCCGTGAAAGCCTTCAAGAATACATTGTCCAACAATCCATAAAAATCCAACTTGTTCTTATCTTCACCTATCTAAGTGGAAAGCAGAATTCTAGTAACAGGCTTTAGTGCTCAAATTCAGCTTGTAGCACAGTTCAGTTAACTCTCAATTGAAGATGAGATTTCAACATTAAGGTAAATCAGTCAACAGCTGACAATGCTTCTCTAAACAGAAGCATTTCCTCATGATGCAGATATATCAGTAATCTCTGCACTAGGTTCAGGATAGGGGACAAGAGAAGGAGGATGAGAAGTCCTACAGTACTTGGAAGCACATCCCCTCTCATTCCACATGAAACCGACTCTTCAGGAAAACCTGCGAAACTCAAGTGATTAAGACTACAGTCCAAGGGCCGTGTATACCAAACTCTATATTGTTTACTTACTAGGAAGTACATATAGATGGAGTGGCATGTCATGAATGATAAAGAATTAGATACCATAAAATGTTACTGGAGAACTATTCCAAATAGTATTGACTTTACCATTGTCTGACAATACCACAATTTAAAGATTTTGCTTGTCTTCTTCCAGCTATCCTAACATGCTACATCTGATGCTGACTACTTCTGCCAGATATCTATTTAATAATTTTCACGCTGCCCTCTTGATGTCCTCCATTTCCTGAATTTTATATATGCCCTGCTTCCTCCATTAGGTCTACCTTTCTCAAAATACATTCAATGGAACAACCTTATAGATGCGTTCTCAAAATTAAGTCCAATTTCATGCAGCGGAGCTTAACTGCAGGAATCTGGATAAAGAACTGAATCCTAACTAGATAAAACAAGGCTATGTACAGTGGATGGGTGGAAAAGAAGAATATGGGTGGCAAACAGAAACTTCAGGCAGTATGATAGTATATTCATAGCAGATATTTCTTTTCCAAAAAGCGTAGTAACGACACAACCCAAAATTAATTTGCAACAGACTTGCCAATACATTAATTTTATAGCATTGTTTCTATGTATCTCTCCAATACACTGAATGAAAAAAATATATCTCTATATAAATTCACTTACGGCTTAGCACCATACAAGTTTAATGTACTGTACTAACCTCTCTACTCAAATATGCACTGCAATAGCTCTCTCCTGTTGTTTAGGCAAATCTGAAAAGAGACAGATCAAACTAACAACCCATCTAGATCAGCATCCTGTTTCCCACATGGTTGCCCATTTCTTCCAGAAATTCAACTATAAAAACAGTATAAAAAACCAACAACAACAACCTTCTCAAAGCACAGCATAGTGTTGCTGACTCTGGCAGCAGCACTTCACAATGACAACTGAATGACACTGAGGCACTTCCCCTCCATAAATATGTCTTACCCTCATTGTTTAGGATTATGAAGATTCAAAAATTATTAGACACCATAATAAATCACACCCCACATTTTCACATTCTAGCAAACTTGAAACAAAAAGCAGAAGAAAAGCAAGTAAATTCAGGAAGCTGGAAAAGTGCAATATTTCTGGCAAGGAAGGGGGAAGTGAGCTCCATGCAGTTGAAGGATGGGCGTAGGCTAATCCTCATGCAATTATGTTCAGCTAGGGATGAGGGGCTGGTTCTCTAGGCACTGGCAGAGGTCATGATGTGTATACTGATCTTAAAGCCATTTAAACTAGCACCCATGACCACAGCTCTCTATGGCAGCCAAAGTGATGACTGTCAAGAATCACCTTATTTTAACAAGCAGCTTCACTGTTTGAGCCCTTGGTTCTAGTTTTATGGAAGAAAAACATTCTGTGCCCCTTTTCCGTATTAATATGCATCATCTTATAAACTTCTTATGTCTCTTCTTACTTATGTTATCTTCTGAAAAGGAACTAGACGGCTTAATGCCATTTATTTTAAGTCTTCCAAACCTGCATAGCATTCTAACTTACAAGCAAATCCTCTGTTTCCATGGCCTACTAAAATACAGTAAAAGCAACATCAGCTTTATGAGCCTCCCTGCTTTCTCAAGGTGGAATACCACATTCACCTGTTTAAAGCTATACTAAATAACTAACCTGGTTTTCAGCCTGCAATATTCATCTACCAGCCATAAGGCTACACTTTTTGAATTGTCAGTGCACTTACTCTAAAATCCTAAGCAGGAGTGATTACCTGACAATTCAAAAGGAGAGCATATCCAACTGAATAAATTATTAGAAAGATCAAGAAAATTGGAAAGCTTAAGAAATCAGTCACCTATCTAAATCCTACGAAAGCCTTCAGTATTCCTTAAGTCTCCAGTTCCCTTAATTATAAAAGCCTTCAAGACTGCAAAGTTGCCATATGTGTTTCCTTATAGTTATGAGCCATTATTACCACTAACGTCTTCCACTCAGTATGTCAGTCTAGGCTTCACAGCCCCTTTCCATTACTGTCCATCCTTTCCACCCTCTATGAATCCGACTCTAAGCTGTCCGCTACTGAGGTCTCCCTCTATTTCATTTTCTTCATCAGCTAAGAAGGTCAATAACTAACACTACAAGCCCAGTGAATCATGTACTGTTACTATTATGCTGTTGATCATGACATTTAACATTGGTAAAAATCACAGAGCAAGAGTGGAAGGGCTTGAGCTGTTTTGAAGAATCAATTGCTTTCTTCATTTCCCATTAACCTTACTATTCCACATATTCTCCCCAGTCCTTTGTCATCCTACATTCCCTTTTCATCACACATAATCTTAAACCCGAGAGTACCTCGACCCATTACTTGTCTGTACTGAACATCAATTCAAGAACTCCATACCAAGCAATTCCTCAATCTCACTTCCCACCTTACTCTGCAATCTTACTGTAACCTCCATCTCCCAAGAGCTCCTCACCATAACCTCTAGTTGCCCAGTTTCTTGGCCCTTAAAATTCTATGTACTGTATATCATATCTCCTCCCACAAAGTGCTCCAGTGAATCCAACTTCAGTTCTCCACCATACCGTTACAGATGTACGAGGAAGGCTCAAACTATTTTTTTGGCCAGTTCAACTGTTGCACCCCAACCTCCCACTTCACTCTTATTTCTCTTCTCCATTCTTCCAGCTCAAAAAATGATGAAGTCCCTAAACAAGGGACCTATCCATAGCATGTATCCCTTTCCTAAACAGCCAAGGCATGTTGACGACATATACACAACTGCAAGGCTGTAGTTTTTACCACCAATCCTAAATTCCTTCAATCAGTCCTACAACCTCCTACCCATCCAACAGCACCCTCATGCCTGTGACAGACCCATTCCACGGCTCTCTTTCTAGCTCATCCTTCATCCCAGACAAGGCGGGCCCTATCATTAGGCAGACTGAGACAGGCACCTCAAGCAACAGATTTGCAGAATCATGAAACAGGCAGAAATAATACCATATTGAATTTGTTACTTCCCTTTCACTAACAACGATGGGGAGAGGTATTTCTGCGATTTTCTGCCACATGTACTAAAAATAATTTGACTGCTTTTGAGTTCTGTGCACTGAGTGATGGTGGGTGGCACCGCCTGCTTCCCTGCCCCAAAGAACAAGATGCTGTGTGGGGGGCAGCCCTCTTCCTAGAGGGCCACAGGCACTTCAGGCCCCCCAGCACCTTTTTGTCAAAGCCCCACCTGTCCTCTCCAGTCCACGCAGCCTCACCCTTCCTCCGAAAGGCAGAGACAAGCCAGACCACACAAACCCCTTACACAACCACTGCTAATTCGATTCCCCAATTGTCACTCCTTGTCAGGGGATGGGCTGCACAATCCATAAGGGTCCTTTCCAGCCTCTGTAGTGCTAAGATTATTTAAGCTTATATGTTGTCGCCCGTTGTTTACGCAGGGAGCCCTCTGCAAACACACTTGGAAAAGTTCACACCCCGAAGTGCATTAGGGCGTGTGTCCTTGTTCTTTCTGTGCTGCAATTCGCATCGGGGCTTCTTCCACACCGAGCTGAGCACGGTGACTAGACATTGAGCAAAGATCGTTCCCAATTTTATCTTTTTTTTTAACTTAAAGCATCATTGTTTCCCCTTGTCGCACACGTTTCCTTTCCTAATACTGTACTGTATTTTGCAAAGGAAGGAAGGAAGGGGAAGGGGATTCTGGAAATCGCCAGCTGAAGAAAGACCCCCCTCCCCAAGCCCCCTCAGCTGAGCACGGTGACTAGACATTGAGCAAAGATCGTTCCCAATTTTATCTTTTTTTTTAACTTAAAGCATCATTGTTTCCCCTTGTCGCACACGTTTCCTTTCCTAATACTGTACTGTATTTTGCAAAGGAAGGAAGGAAGGGGAAGGGGATTCTGGAAATCGCCAGCTGAAGAAAGACCCCCCTCCCCAAGCCCCCTCTTCCTCGGGGCTC